TGCTGCAGTAGCCGGAGCGAAGTTGGGCAAGTGTAGTGCGTGTCTCCCGAGGCAGATGAAGCTCTGTCTCGTCAATGTCCGGGGGTGGTATGCCTAGAACGGCATTCACAGGTCTAGAGTCTACATAACTCGAGACTGAGTCCCTGTGAATGCCGTTCAGGGCCTGTCTGTACGCTGTCGGGTCCAGAGGTTGCTTAATGAACCTCTGGACTTCGTCCGTCAGTTCATATAGATGCCTCCTGACGTGCCTAGGCGAGGGCTCCTCTGCAAGCAGCTGTCTGTTTGGGTGGCCACTTCTGTGGCTCCCTATCAGGAACTGCTTGCAGAGCATTATGTTGTGCTCCTTAACTGGGAGCATTTGCGCCTCGCCGTGCAAGTGATGTTCTGGCGACATCAGGAGGCATCCCGTCGCTGTCCTAAGTGCCGTGTTTTGTCCCGTCTGTAGCTTCGTCCACTGCGTCCTACTAGTCCCTGGCGACCACACTGGCGCTGCGTAGTTCAAAACCGGCCGGCCTATTGCCTTGTATGTTGCCAGCAACGTTTCTTTGTCTTTGCCCCAAGTACTGCCGGCTAGCGACTTGAGGACCTTGTTGCGGCTCTGTACTTTATTGACAATAGCGGTTGAGTGCGCAGAGAAGGAGAGCAGGCTGTCGAATGTTACTCCGAGTATTTTGGGGTTATTCACCGTCGGAATTGGTGTGTCATCGACGTGAATCCCCAGCGGTAGCCTGACCTCCTTCGTCCAGGTTGTGAACAGGGTCGCGGAGGATTTCCTAGGGGAGAGGGCTAGACACTTTGCAGTGAAGAAGCGAGAAAGTTCGGAGAGATAGCCGTTTACTTTCGAACACAGGTCATCAATTCCATTCCCAGTCGCCATGATCGAGCAATCGTCGGCATAGGAGACAATCGAGAATCCCTCTGGTGGTTGAGGGAGCTTTGAAATGTAAAAGTTAAACAGTAGCGGGGAAAGGACACCACCCTGAGGAACCCCCTGTTTTATTTTTCGCTGCTTACTCGTTTTGTCTCTAAACATTACCGACGAATGTCGACCACTCAGATAATTTGCCGACCACCGTTTGAGCATCTGTGGGAGAGAGGAGGCCTCTATATCTTCTAGTAGCGTGGAATGGCAGACGGTGTCAAACGCCTTTGACAAGTCCAACGCTACTAGAATCGTTCTCTCACAGGGACGGTTACGGTTAAGGCCACGAGTTATCTGAGTGTTTATGGCGTTAAGTGCTGTTGTTGTACTGTGCACTTTACGGAAACCATGCTGATGCTTCGCTGGGGTCAGGTGGTTTGTGAAGTACGGGAGTAGCAAGGCCTCGAGTGTCTTCGCTACCGGGGAAAGGAGTGTAATCGGACGATACGAATCTCCTTTGTTGGCAGGTTTCCCCGGTTTGAGCAGTGGGACCACTCTCCCCACCTTCCAGATGTCTGGGATGATGAGAGTGGCCATTGACAGGTTGAGGACCTCCGTTAGGTACGCTACCCCCGCAGGACCCAAATTTTTCAGCATCAGCATGCATATTCCGTCGGGACCCATGGCTTTGGAGGCTTTCGCCTTCCCGATGGCCACCTGAACTTCACCGCAAGTGAAAGCAAGGGGGGCACAAGTTGTTGGCAGTTTGTGCAGCCTTCTGGTCACTCGACGCTTGGCTTTGTCCACCGGATGATGCAGTATGAACTGCCGGCTAAAATAGCTCGCGCATCGTTCCGGGTCCGACGAGGCATGGTCGCTGAAGGAAATTTCGACTCTGTCGTCGTGCTTCGTCGGATTAGACAATGACCTCACGGTTGACCAAAGCTTGCTCACACCAGAGGTGAAATTACAAGTCTTCAGATGCTCCTCCCACTTCTTCCGCTTATGTACGTTTACAAGTTGCCGAATCTCCGCGTTGAGATCCCTGATACGGGGATCTCCGGGATCGGCCTGACGAAGGCTATCACGCTCATCGGCTAGAACAGCCGCTTCGGCAGGGAAGTTTGGACGTGGGTCCGATATACATCCTGCCGGTATGAAGCGAGCTGCAGCAGCAGTGATAGCCCTGCGGAACTTACGTTCACCGAGATGGACGACGGTTGGTGTGGGGAGCGCTGCGAAGGTGTTTTCGGTAAACTCCGCGTAACCTTTCCAATCAGCTTTAGAAAAGTTGATATAGGTCCGGTGTTTGGCGGAGGCAAAGTCGGTTGGTTTATCAATCGAGATGACTATGGGTAGATGGTCTGATGCTAGAGTCAGCATAGGTCGCCACGTTATGCTGTTTATCAGACCAGCGCTGACTATTGTGATGTCTGGCGAGCTACTGCAGTTACCCATAATCCTGGTGGGTGCGTCGTCGTTCATTGTGCAGAATGTCGAGCCGTCTATCTGCTCAGCCAAGTCTGTTCCCCTACGATCGTTTGACAGGCTTGAGTGCCAAAGATCGTGGTGCGCATTAAAGTCACCTACTACCATACGGTTTTCACCTCTGAGGAGCGCACCTATATCAGGGTGATATCCTGCCGGGCAGCAGGTGACAGGGGGTATGTATATGTTAAATATTTCGAGCTCGACATCGCCTGACCGGATAGCGATGCCCTGACATTCTAGGGTGGTATCCCTGCGGTCGATGTCTGCTTCGATAAGAGGATACTGCACGGTGTGGTGCGTGATGAACGCTAAGCCACCACCATTATCTCGCTCGCGATCTCGACGGTGCACGTTGTACCCGGCGCAATTCAACAAAGTTGAATTGCTGTGCAACTTCGTCTCTTGGACCATGCCGACACATGAAGACGGTTATCTCCTCAATCTTGCTCTGTAGCCCGTTACAGTTGAATTGAAGGAGCTTCATGTGGTTCGGGAGACGTGTCGTGATGTGAGGTGTAAGTGAAGTGTATGTTCTTGCCGCCGTTGGCTGTGTGTGCTGCTGAGGTGATTGCCGCCCTGTGGTGGAGGTGGGGGGCGTCGCTATTGAAGCCTGCGACCGAGCAGCGCAACACGGGCCCTCGAAGTTCCCCGTCCAATCTCGCGTGGTACGCAGACCTGAGCATGCCCTAAAATGGCACCAGCCAAGGCAGGTATTGCACTTGACTGATGTCACATTACGGAATATCCTGGTCTGACATACCGTGCAGATTGTAGGGGGAACCAGGAGTTGTTGGCGGCGGCGTGTGGTTGGTGGTGCGGTTGTGTGTGTTATGTGGTCTGTGGTGGTGTTATTATGTTGTTGTGTTGTGGTGACTGTGTGTGGCTGCTGTGTGAGTGTGTGGGGCTGCTCGGGCGGACTATGGTTAGCCGTGGAGGCTGCTCTGTTTGAGCAACAGGGGGCCACGTACGACGTGGTCCACTGTCTGTGTGTCCGTAGTCCCGAGCAGACCTTGAGGTGACTCCACCCCTCGCAGGCATTACACTTGACTGAGGTGGAGTTGTGGTGTAATCGTCATCGGCATACACAGCAGGTGTATGTTTCTGGCCCAGGGTTTGACTCGATGCCAGCCCTGAGTAGGAGAATACGTAGTGAATGTAGCCCTATGGACGGACAACTTCTAAGATACTTCGCCGACCTAAACGGGGTTAGATCGCCGAAACAACAGCCCTTGGTCGGGTGAAACCCGAGTCATTCCGGTACGTAGAACCGGCTGTCGTGGGAATGATAGATCGAAAGGTATTGGTGTTCCATTTACATAAATATATAATTTGTGCAGAATGTGCCATAACGTTTACATTTCTCATCCGATTTTCATTACTGCTTAGGCTCAAAATTTACTATTATGATTTCACTTTTATATCGAATTATAAAAATTATTCAAAATATAATTAACTAAAGCTGTGAAATTTTGACAAATGATTGAAAATTTAACTTTTTTCGACTTTGGTCGCTTGTAACACTTTTCATTGAGATCGGCACAGGCTATATATTTTTTTAAAAGGCACATCTGTGGGGCCATTACGTTGATTGGATGATTTTTTCATGAGATATTGACGAATAGCTCCGAAAAATACAAACAAACAAAAAATCTCGAAAACGCTTCGTTAAAAAGATAATAGCGTATTGTTGACGTGTTAAGCGAACCAAAATTAGCTTGGAAAACGTTTCTTTCTTAGATTTAAGCTATAACTCAAAATTTTTAGAGCAGTGTTACTGGGATTTTTGATACTGATCTTAATTTTGTCGTCACCCATTGTCTATGGCCTTACAAAATTTTGAAGGCATTGACTTGTTGAAGCTTCAAAATCAAACTCATCCTCATGTAGTTATCAATCAGTTATCGACACTCTTTTTATGTTGATAAGTAAAGGACTCCCGCTGTTTATTTTAAAATATCGCATAAAATGCGGGACAAAGGCAGGACACTTGGAAAAAATCAGTACATTTTGATGTTTTTCTGTTTTGAACAGACTTTTGAATAACAGTACGGTCCTGCAAAAAACAGAACGGATGGTCACCGTACATATAGTTGATGCAACAACATGAAGTACTGAAGTTCGTTGACTGCGCAGCGTCGATTAACTACAAAGGGGCGTTTGAGCGTTTATCATGCAATTGGAATTTTCAAATAGTCGTTTATCACGCAGCGCACAATCGAACGTCAATTTTTAAGCCACTTTTTGTCAAAAAAAGGCAAAGAATTTTTATATGATTTTTACGAGTATTTTACGTACATACGTGTATTTTATCAGCAATTGAATGTTTAGTTATTTGTACAACGTTTTTGGGTAGGGGCAGAGGGGAATGGGGCGTGACCCCCAAACCCTCTAAACAAAAGAGGATGGACGGCGCTTTATGAAAAGTTACCGCTCCCCCTTCCCCCGAAACACACCCCTTGAAAGCTGTTTCAAAATAGGGGAAATTTGGATTTTTTGAAAAAGGATTATAACCCTCACTATTTTTTATATATATTTTTATATATATATATTTTGTGTTCGACAACTCAGCTCGGAAATTTGCAAAAAATATCATATTTCAAACCGAAATTTATTTAGTTATGTATTTATTTATTTATTTAATCAGCATATTTTGCAAAATAAATTTGCCAAGTACAATGTCAGCACCGGACGTCTAGGTCATTGAGTGCCATTGTTGATGTCGCTTTTAGTTAGATTTGATTATTGAGGTGATGAATTTCGAATGATTTTTCTATTTCTTCGATGTTTCTATTTTTATAATCCAGATGTCTTGAATGCTTCTATTAATCTTCGAGTTTGGAAATACTGTTAGTATGTGCTCTATAGTGAGTGTTGTTGCACTAAATGAGTAAATTGGTGGTCGAGTTTTGGTGAGGATGTGGGCGGTATTAAAAAGGTCTGTTCCAGTCCGAAGCTAATTTTATGCATTGACTACGTGATAGTTTTGTGTTGTAGTTGTCCCTGGAAATTGCGGCTGCTATTTGCACAGCCTTTGTCGGACTGAAATTATTAATAAATTGTTTTTTTTTTTTTTTGAATCTTATCTACAAGTGATAAAAAATGTTTTGATGCGAGCCACGCGTTTGGGCGCAGCAGCCCAAAATTGTTGTGCAAATCACTAGATTTGAGAATTTTTGTGTTTTCGAAGCAAATTATGGCAACTACCTACATATTACTTTTCTTTTAACACCCCCACCGAGATATATATATGTATGTACAAACATGTGTACAGTGCACAAAAATAAAAACTCACCCAATAAATGATGCACAGAGATGACAAACAGGCTCTTCGAAGTCACGTTGTATTGACGACACTTTTTCAGAAATTTCAACGGCATTGCTATCTAATTGGACTTGCTTTGGTCTGCACAAGCACTTGTTATTTCTAGCTTCGCAGCGTCGTTCGTTGTATTCGCTAATGTCGCTTTTGTTGTTGTAAACTTCGTTGACGCCGTCGTTTGCTATCATCCGCCTTTCACGTTCACGTTAGCTGCTAGACACATTCAACCAACCCACAATTGGACTTGTTGCGCCAACGTACACGATTTCCAACAATGGTAATCAGTCGGCGTCGACAACGCTTCAGTCTGTTGTTGCTATTACTGGAGCAGCGACAGCCACACGCACCTTTTTGTAGTATCGTTGGCCATTTGCATATTAATTACACAATCTTTATCCCCATACACTGCTTTGGGTTTCTAAAAATGTATAATTTTTATGTATTACCTTTCGTCGAGGGGTTTTAATGTGAATAAGTGTACACGTACACGAATTTGGCCCGCCGCCTGCACAGAAGAACTTTATTAACCCACTATTTATGGTTGGTCTTATTAATTAGTACTATGTATAAGGCACAGAATTTTCGCTATCGATTGTTTTTTAAGGCACAATAAAAACAGCTAACGAGTATCTGCAGCTGTAATTCAATTTGATATGCTTGAAATTAGCCAACACTTGACATAGTTAACAGTGCGGCTAACACAAATATTTCTTAATTTAATTGTAAGAAACTTTCGCAAATTTTCCACGCTATCACGCAATCGGCCGTCGTTGTTTAGATTTCTATGATTATGCGCAAATTATTCACCAAAAATATTACACCTACTCGTTATCCGTTTGATGATAAATGAAAAGTTAATAAACTCACACAAAAAATGTTAACAGAAAACATAAAATTATTTTAAGAAAAGAAGAATTTCGCTGCGAGGGAATTAAATGGAAATGTCAATATCATCGAGGACGTCAGTTGAAAATAGAATGTCAAACTTGCTGGAATTTTTCTGAAATGCACTAACGGAAATCAGTGGAATGGACTGTCGGAAGTACAGGGCGATAAACAGTTTTTGAAATGCAAGTTGACAATAAAGCTGCCTTTACATGAGGCGATTTTTTCACAACGGATAATCGCATGCAAAAGTCGACTTGCTCTCGATTTTGAATCACTATTTACACTTTAAGCTGCCTTTATATGAGGCGATTTTCCAGGCGATTCAACATTGCTCTGGAAAAATCGCTCGTGTAAATAGTGATTCAAAAATCGCTTGTCTCAAAGTGGAGAGCAATACAAATTTTGCATGCGATTGTCGGCTGTCAAAAAATTGCTTATTTTAAAGGCAGCTTAAGACATAAGCAATAACCAGAGAACGTTTCCCTGCAAAAATCGTAGTCTATTTGTGGTAAATTGGAGTACTTACAAAAGTGTTCCTCTGTCATGCTGTAGCGGACCAACTCGTGTCTCTGCGCGAGCTTATTGTTTGTTATCCGATAACTGCTCGTGTTTTAACGAAATGTGATTGAAGTTGAGCATTTGAAAACACATTTGCATGTCTGGCTGTAGCTGAACGTGTAGAGATGATCGCTGTTAGTTCTTAGCTCCCAGCATGTTCTGGTTCGAATGACGTCAGAGGCAACATGTAATTTTTAATTTTTGTCTTGGTTTTTATTAATTTCGAAAAAGCATTTGAGAAGTGAAGAACAAAAGCGTGTACAAACGAAAAAATATAACAACAATGCCATTGTTAATATGTTGCAGTAGTTTCGTGCTACTCTGATGTAATGCAGGGATGGAGTATATGGTCCTGCCCTAGGACATCGCAATGTTAATTGGACCATATTTTGTATATGAATTGTGGTTAATTTTGGAGTACTCTTTACACGCATGCATGGAGTAGTCACGATTTTTGCAGGGTTAATACAGAGAAGCAGCAATTACGAATAGCCGTGTGAATTGTCAAACACTACCAAAAACGCACTAGAAGCTCACCACTCGAATCGAAAATTGAGAGCGGCAAATTAACAGATCTCAGCGGCAAGTTAACAGAGCTGAGCGGAGATACAATTTTGTTAATTTGTATCAATGTTAAGTTCTTTGGTTTGGATTTTCGTTTTCGCGGCATTGATTTAATAAAAAAAAAGATGAAAATTCTTGGTTAAATTAATGAAAATTTATTTTCGAAGATATATGCCAGGGAATGCTTTAACTCCAAAAAGTAGATTTGTTATTTAATAAATATGTGAAATCTATGCAAATATGCAAACTCATTGGTGAATTGCCGTCGGCATTTGGGTCGAAAAAATCGTTTTTTTTTAACGATTCTTATTGTAGTTGCTACGCTATTTGCAATGCAACAAACCGCAGTTTGCTAGGTGCTTTAGTTTTTTCCCAAATTCACTTTAAAGATAGACACATTGACAAAAAAAGCCTACAAATGCGTACTCTTTGGTAATTTGTTGTCGGCATTTAAAAGCGAAGAAAAAATCAGTTGTTATTTTTTAACGATTGCTACGCTGCTTTCAATGCAACAAACCGCAGTTTTCTTGCTAGTAAATTCACTTCAAAGATGGATACATTGACAAAAACGTACAAAAGCATCAATTGCAAAGTGGTTTTTCTCGAAAAGTTATGTTTGAGTTTTATGAACATTTATTTCGAGAAAATGTGCTATATGTATATAACCTAAGCAATTGCTCTTTCTTAAAATCTCAGACCTTTTACTCGATTTGTTCGAATAAATTTAAGTGAAAGGTGCATACGGACCAATGTGTTGAATGATGATTTTTCACTGTAATACTCGTATTACATGTAAATAATGGGGCTTATTCATGGTCAAAATAAAGTTGACACTAAAGTTAGTTACAGCTTTTTCACATCATTTTCAGTGGAATAATCTGTGAAAAAAGCTGCAACTAACTTTCTTCCTATTAGGCATGCGCATATGGATGCTTGTAGTACACACAGATGTGATCAACTAATTAGCAACGAAATTCAAAATGATATTGTTTGCGAATTGTGTTTATTTATTTATTTTTAATAATTTCCTTTAAAATAGAATTCAATCTATAACAGAAACCACAATAATAAAAGTTTAAAAGCTTGCACAAATTGCATAAAAATTAATAAAATTTCAAAAAATTGTTATCAAGATTTAAAAATTTTTAATTTGAAATTTAGAAAATTTTCAGGTATGCAGCTTTGTAGCCCATTCAATGAAGTACACTAAAGTGCAAGTTTCTAGTCATTGAAAATTACCGTTGATTTTGTTTAGAATTTTTTTTTCATGAAATTCATGAAATTAACAAAATTGTATCCCCGCTCAGCTCTGTTAACTTTCCCCTCAGATCTGTTAATTTGCCGCTCTCAATTTTCGATTCGAGTGGTGAGCTTCTAGAGCGATTTTGGTAGTGTTTGACAATTTACACGGCTATTCGTAATTGCTGCTTCTCTGTTTTAAACGTTCTCTGCTGCTTCTCTGTATTAAACGTTCTCTGCACGCATCAACTTTAATTGAATTCAAGTCCTTGGTTCTTAAATGGGAAGCAACGAAAATATGAAAAGAGACAAGAAAACTTGAAACGAATTGACGGTACGGAGGTATCTGTACTCTTCCCACCTCCTTCGCCAACGAACGAGCAGACTTGAAAGCAAGACTTGACGTGTCTGAGAGGGGACTTATGTTGAGAGCCATTTGGTGGATAAAGTGTGTTTGTGGCCGCATATTAACAAAACTAATGTTTATTATATACAAATTGCATAAGTCTACTATAAAATCTATGCATTTGTATATGAATTCGCATACGTTTTGTTTTCATCGGACAAGAATAAACATAATTATAATAAACGAACAACTTGACGAAGGTTTGCCAACTTGCCTACACACGGCTTATTTACCACCAACTTCTAGCGGTTGGCCAACTGATTGTCCGATAAATCGAACCGTGTGTAGGGCCTTTCACGACACTAAAAAAGAGAAGCAAAGAAAATAACAAATTAATTCAAAACAAATTGGAAGAAAGAGAAGACTACTGCAAAATGGAATGAACAATAATCGAACGAAAATCAACAATTTACAAAATCAGAAACAAAAGCGTTCAGCGACAAAGTGGTAGCAAATTTTTTTCAAGCGAAGCAATAGCAATACACAAGTGTATAAAACGCAAAAGGGGATTATAAAATATACATTACATTCCAAATAGCAATAATAAAGAAACTACGAATTGCGACAAAATAGAAATACGATAGAAGTGAATAAAGAAGCAGTGACTACAGAACTTCCAAATACAGAAAATTTTATTGCAGTGCAGGGAAAAATACAACATTAATAATACGCATAACACATTTTTCATGCAAAGCAATTGACGCGATTTCATAAAAAAAAATCGTGGAAAAAGTGAAAGTGCAATAAAGTTGAATAATTTGGTTAAAGTACCAACAGCGGCTCCTCATAGCAATACCTTCAATTGTCGTATTTCTTGTTTTCAGCTGAAAAGGGCAAAACCAAGCAGAAAAAATTATGGCTGCTTCAGGATATCAACTGAATTTCAATCAGGATTTTACGTAAGTGCCATTTGATTATTAAAAACAAAAATGTTGCAATGATAAGAAAAAATTTACAAGGTCCTCAGCGCCATTGAAATTGCATAAATACCAAAGCAATTGCTACCAATGTTTGACAATAACCGAAGGCCTTGAAAGAGCAAATTTATAAACGGCGAATAGCAAAGTAAACAATTTGGATAAAGCATTTATTTACATAGGAAAAATAAAAGTCAAATTGTTATAAGCAGTCGCTGCTTTATGAACTAGTGGTTGAAATATGTATCTGTAGGTAGAGTTACGATAGACTTGGTAAGTCAGCCACTGTCTCATTGTTGTGATATATTCATTTTTCACTTTTGTTTGCTATCAAAAACCAGTTTCTTCGACTTGATTCCCCATTTTTTGCACTTATTTTATTCTTGTTCTGTGCAGAAACGTCTATTTTAGGTGCGCCTTGCTTTAGGTGCACTTGTACAAATCTCGACTTTTGTGTTCTTTAACGACGCACGTACATATACAACAAACACACCCTCCCCCAAGGCGCATCCATCAATCAACACCACCCACCTTGTATTGATGCGTCTTGCCCTCCCCTAGAAGAGTCGTTTATTGTTGAATGGCCCTGCTGAAAGACAAATTGGTAAAAAAAACGTTGAGCTTTATTTCCAATTGTAACAATAGGTAGTATACATACATTAAAGAAGTGAAATTAAATCACCTTTAAATGAATTTCAACTTCGATCAAACAAACTAGCGAAAATACATATCAAACAAATTATCTTATTTATGCTTTTTCTTAGTCAGCTGATCATTGTTTTTCTTACTGTTTGTTTTCGTTTCATTTTTCGGGCGTTACTATTTATTTTTATTTAATTTTGGCGATGAGCTGGTCTAACAACCTTGTTTTTACCTTGTTTGGTGCCGCCAAAGTTTTATTTGCTTCATTTTTATTTTATATTTTTTTTTGCGTGCAAAGGGGATTTCTCATAATGATGTCACTTATGAATGTGCATTTGGCTGATAGGTGAAGCTACAAAATGCTTACTTACTGAATTTACTTCCTTCGAAACAAATTTTCAGCGCTATAGTTTATACTACGGCAGTATAGTTCATAACTTGGATAAAGTTAGTAAAACAAAGTTATTCGGAGTCATATTCCTTAATGAAATCTGACTCTGACAGCAAAAAGTTTAATGGAAAAAAAGGCAGACATGTATGACAGTAGAAAGTCAAGGTCCTTTCTAGGTCATACGGCTCTAGTTACACACTATACTAGAGGCAAGAGTATTTTACTAAGCCTCCCATAGCCAAACATCACTAACACATATTACGGACTTGGACACTTATGGAAAGAAAGTTTGCTCTTGATTCAATAAAAATGCCTGGTTAAGCTTTTAGAAAAAGTTCGCGCAATTTCCGAAGGATTAATATGGTACCGACTTATTTTCAATGTTGAGCGCTGTACTTCAAAAAGTTTGAGACACCAAATTAAATCAAAAACCAGTTATTACTAGATAATTTAAAATTGGCTTGGCCTGCATATGCAAAGAAAGCTAAAAATGGACAAGAAAGTAAGCAAACCGCTATGTAATTAAACCAAAATCGGCAAACACTTTTGTCAATAAGTGATACAGCCAATAGGTAACAATTTTGCTGTAAAAAAAATACCCTCAGCTGACTGACAAGCTATCGAATTTCTAAGGCGAATGCACCTGCATAAATTTCATTGTGAAGTTCAAGGTTTGCTTTATCTCGAATATACCGATAACTGAAGTGTGGAAACCTGTTGATGGTAGAGGCTCAACTGTTTCTAATTTTTTTTGTTGGCTCATTTATCACACTCTAGTGAGCTATCATTTGTGTGTTGCTAGATGAATGCATTTAGAAAATAATTGACCATAATCAATTTCATTCCTTGATTATTGTTTATTGATTGTAGCGAACTAAGATTTAAACGAAAAGTGCAGACAATTTTGGAAAATCGCTCAAAATTTTTTGGGTTGCAAAATAGATGCAATTAAGAGGAAATGAAGTTGTGTAATTTCTATAGCTACTACCGCTATATGTCATATGTACTATGAATGTTTGTAATAATTTTTTCCTTACCAAGCTGAAATATTGTTCATACTATGTACATACATACATATGTATGTATATACATAGGTACATGCATGCGTAATTTACATGCATTTGTACTTTTCCATTATCATACTAACAATAATACATATTCACTATTCCAACACACTTCGCGTGCATTCATTTAGTAGATGCTATGAAATACCCTTTTGTTAAGCCATTAAAAATAAGTTTGTATGTACGTATGTACTACGTTTTCCACAATAAACAGCAAATTTTGTACTGGTTGAAAAAATGTATGAAAGGGTTAATTTCAGGTGATTATTGCACCTTTTGTTATCTGTTATTGCGGAAAATCAGTCCTATAGCTGCGTTGAAAATTAAGTACCTACTGCAATTTATCGTTGCTGCAGATTATTGTCTATTTTTGCTTTACTCTACAATATTTTTTATAAATTTTGTATTGGGAGCAATGTCCTTTTGACTCTTAAGTTAATTATGTATAACCACGTAGGGCAAAAATGTTAATTTACTGCATACTCGACATTATCAAATGTGCAAAACCAAATTTTTGATTAATTGATAAAGCTTTTAAAAGGAAAACTTAGTACTCATGCATCAATATGACGTAAACAAAATACTTAGATATCGAGCCCTAACCGCCAAAATAACGTGATTGAAATTTTTTTTATGCAGAAATATTGCTGAGCATCTAGATGCATTTTTGCACCAAAAAGAAAATTTTGAAAAAATTTCGCTTATGTACACATTTGTTGAATTTATGTTAATTATAAGAAAACATACAATTTTGACACATACATACATATATATCTATGGACTTTTGATAAAGTAACTTCGTATTTCGAGGAGGTTTAATTTTAGATCAAAAAATAAATTTAGTACAATATTGCATAGGAACAGCTCGAGATGAGCGGTTTTGCCTAATGTCTCCAGATACATACCGTTGTCTATGCATTCAAATAGCCATATTAATCTTTGTGATATTTACACATTAGGACGGGTAGAAAATTTTATTTTTCTCAAATCCCTTGGTAATAGTGATCCGCGCATAAGACCGATTCTTGTTAAAAATTCAAGAGTTCAGCAAAAAGGTTTGATGCATATTATTAGATAATAAATCCGTAAACGTAAACGACAAAGTCAAATATTCTCAAATTTATCTTTTTTCAACAAAATTGTAATTGTTCTGTTGATAATTACACTGGTCTATAGTCATGATAATATTTCTGGAATGTATTTAGGTCGCTGGTTCCATATATGTTCATCTTTTTTCACATTAAGTAGCTGTAGTTTGCAAATATTTGCAAATTTAGTAACAATTTCGGTAGCTATAATACGATAACCTTTATTTTCCATCACCCTGGAAATTTTTTTTGTATGCAAAAGGGTATGGAAACAGTGAACTGGCACAAATTCGGAGAAACACAAATTAGTTTACTTATGTTCATGCATACAATAAAGAAATTACAAATAAAGGAAATTGACAAGAGCTTTTGTTCAACATTTTCAGAATACTGCCTTTACATACCTGCAGTCACGTTTCCACATAATGGAACTAACAAAAATATTTATATCTAAATACTTATTGCACGTCACCTACTTTCATATAACGGCAAAATTTAGAAACCCCGAAAAATGTGCTTCTTCGGTGAGTTTTGACTTAAAATGGTCGTTGTTCAACCTATTTGTGTTTTGTTAGTTTATGTATGTGCTTGAAACTAATATTAACTTATTAAACAATTCTGAAAACTTTAAAATTTAAATCCCTTTAATCCTTTAAATATTATATACTTCACTTAGTTACAGAAGTAATGAAGAATTGAAAGCTCATACGAAGAAATTATAGTTTTTGTAGGTTTTTCCAAATATCTCGACAAATTGTGGTCTTATTAAAAAATTATGTACTAAATTGAATAGCCTTTAATTTAATATATATACATTTTTAACAATTAACACTTTCCCTAGATATTACCAACCAAAGTTCTATTATCAAAATGTATACCTTTTAAATCAATGTTTTAAATTAATCTTTCGTGATGAACTATGTTCGGCTTAGACCTAAAACAACATAATATTACAATTAAATGCCCCCTACAAAATCGACCCAGCCTAATGTACATACATACATATGTACCCCCATATATGTATATGTCAATGTAGCTATAAATGCATTGTCAACTCAACGCTTTAAGAATAACCATAAATAATGTTTTGATTAAATTGTAAGATGTCGCCTTCATGTCTCACTGCAGTCTACAACAAATATGAAAACAAATAAAGAAATAAAACAATAAATCAAAGGCATACAAGCCCAAGCTAAAATGTTGTATTAATTCGCATAAACATATGCATCTACATATATGTAGTGTAAAATTCTATTAATTTACCTTCTATGTGCATATTTATTTCATATATTCTTGAAATTTACGCTCGATTGCATAACACCACCTTGTTCCCCCATACATAGTACATACAGTCAGCGTCAAAAATATGAATACCAACAGCAAAAACTAGCAGAATTAATTTTTTTTAATTTCTTGCACCTTATTATACTACAAGTAATTTTTAGCAAAAAAAAAACCGACTTAAAAAAATATATATATATACACTTGTGATCAGCTAATTAGGCCAGCAACATTTTGATCAATTTGGGCTATTTTTCTTTTGTTTATTTAATGTTTATTATTTTTCCATAAAAGTCTAGCTCATTATATAACAAACACCCATATAAATCCAGATTTCAAACTTTGTGCAAAAATTATGAAACATCTGCAAAGTTTCAGCTAAATTTTCAATTTTTATTCAGATTTTTTTGACTGCACATTCGACAATTTTTATTTGTTTAATTATTAAAAATCAAGCGATTTTTTAGCAACTTAAGACTTGCACATTATTACCCTAGAATTTAATGGGCTATTAAA